CTTGCCAAGTGAGTGTAAAATGGAAGCCTGTAAATGTTTTACATGATGGTAGGATTGATGGTGTCTTTATTCTGTCTCATAAACATGCAACATTTCAGGTAAGTATTGCTACTTCTGCTTGCACTTAGGTCACACTACACATGCATGTTCTTCTTTCAACAAACTGGCTGTATCCCACAAAGGCAGGGTGGCCCAAAAAGAAAAAAAGTTTCTCTTTTTAAATTTAGTAATTTATACAGGAGAAAGGGTTACTAGCCCCTTGCTCCTGGCATTTTAGTCGCCTCTTACAATATGCATGACTTACGGAGGAAGAATTCTGTTCCATGCAAGTACAAGCACATATGTACACACCTCTTTGGGTTTTCTTCTATTTTCTTACTAGTTCTTGTTTCTGTTTATTTCCTCTTATCTCCATGGGGAAGTGGAACAGAATTCTTCCTCCGTAAGCCATGTGTGTTGTAAGAGGTGACTAAAATGTTGGGAGCAAGGGGCTAGTAACCCCTCTTGTATAAATTACTAAATTTAGAGAGACAAACTTTCGTTTTCCATTTTGGGTCATCCTGCCTCGGTGGGATACGGATGATTTGTTGAAAAAAAATGGTATAATGTATACAGAAGGACCCCTCTATCCATGGATTCGGTATCCGCTGTTTCAGGTATCCACAGTTAACTGTGGCCCAAAAATAACCCTTAATTTTGCATGAGAATGGCCCCAAGGTACAATAGTAGTGTTGCTGGTAGTTCTTGAAACCCTAAGAGAAGCCAAGCAATGCTTCCCATCAGTGAAAAAGTGCTAATTCTAGACTTCTTTTGCTTACTTTATCAATTAAACTAACAAATAACACATACAGGGTCCGCTACTATCCACAGTTTCAGGTATCCACGGTGGGTCTTGTAATGTATGCCCCGCAGATACGGGGGAGGACTACCACATACCACTAAGGTATTTATACTGCTGCTAACAATGAGTGATCATTTTTCAAAAACTTCAACACATAAAATGATAAGTTAACATTCAATTTTTTTATTTGAATCAGAAAAATTCCCCCACACACAGTGCCATTGCTAGGGTTGGTGTCACACGGGGGAGGGGGGGGCATCTTTGGTGTCACCGCCATGAATTCCAAGTGCAGGGGTATGGGGGGGAGTAAACTCCAGCTGCATCACTACTGCATGCCCAATGACTAATGTTGAGCAATGAGAACATTTAGGGGCCATGAACCGAACAGGAGAATATTTCTCAACTTTATTAATGATAAAATAAACAAATGTAGTAATACTGAGGAAACAAACTCAAACCCCACTTTGAGTACAGGCAACAGATCCTACATTTATTCATCTTCAACAATGCAAAAAACATGATAAATAAAGAAAAACATTGCAACATCAGAGAAACACTAGTTCTGATTTGACCTTGAGTAAAGGTAACATTTCAATGAATCAAGTCTTACATTTCCTTTCCTTCAATCTTGCAAAATCATCTGTCACATCATCAGAATCAATACTGTCAACTGACCCATTTTCCATGGATAACATTGCTAAGTCAGAGATTATGCATTGACTCATTGTGGACCATAAATAGTTTTTAATCGGCTTCAACTTTGAGAAACTCCTTTCACAAGCAGCCACAGAAACACACATAGTATGGAACAACCTCAGGCAGAGTGTGAGAGTTGGAAGAGATTCAATGAAATCCCATTCAGCTATGAATGTTAGTGCAGCCAATGCAGTCCAGTGCTTAACTTTTTCAAGATCAACATCAGCAGCTTGCAGGTGCCTCCTTAGTCTTGGTATTTCAACTTTAAATACCAAGATTATGGAAGCTCAAAATATAATAATTACCTGACCCTTTGTCTGTTTAACCCAGCCACATATACACCACCACCTAGACCAAACTCACTCGTGGGCAGTACAACAGACACAAGATGTTACGTTAGTGATGACATTATAGTGATGCCAGCTGGATTAGGAGTTTTTTCCAAAATATCATAAATAAAATTATCGATTTATCGTAGTTTTCCATATAGTGTCATCAAGTTTCCCTACATAGGCTTATTTGTATTGTCATCATATACAGTGGACCTTCGGGTTACGCCTTTAATCCGTTCCAGAGAGCTAGCTTTTAACCAATTTAGCCTTTAGCCGAATTAATTTTCCCCTTAAGAAATAATGGAAATCCAATTAATCCATTCCAGACACCCAAAAGTATTAAACAAAATAATTTTGTTTTACATGAAATATACATTTCCCTACACAGAAAACAATGATTCATGCACAATAAACAATACTGAAATGACACTTACCTTTATTGTGGACTTGTTGATGAGTGATGAGATGGGACATTGTTTTTCTTGAACACACTGGGACATGCAGGGAGTGTAGCAGGCATGCAGGGAGTGTAGCAGGCATGCAGGGACTGTAGCAGGCATGCAGGGAGTGTAGCTGACATGCAGGGAGTGTAGCCGACATGCAGGGAGTGTAGCAGGCATGCAGGGAGTGTAGCAGGCATGCAGGGAGTGTAGCAGGCATGCAGGGAGTGTAGCTGACACGCAGGGAGTGTAGCAGGCATGCAGGGAGTGTAGCAGACATGCAGGGAGCATAGCAGGCATGCAGGGAGTGTAGCTGACATTCAGGGAGCATAGCTGACATGCAGGGAGTGTAGCTGACATACAGGGAGTGTAGCAGGCATGCAGGGAGTGTAACTACGAGTTTTTTCTTAAATTTTATTGCGTTTCTTTCCTTCTTTACCACAGGGCTGGCACTAGAAACTTTCTTTGGGTCCATGGTAGATTATTTAGCAGTTACAAACACTAAAAACAATGGAATAATACAAAATATATCACATGTATGCGTGGAATTGTCCACAACGGCTTGTATACAATGGCACACTGGCTGTACACGGAGTCATGGAGTGGCCGGGCCCGCTCAGGCTGCGCGGACACATTTGGGACGAAAACCCTTAACCGAGTTATTTGGCGTTAGCCGAGCCAATATTTTTAAGCCAAAGTGAGCTGTTATCCGATTTTGGTGCTAACCAATAACGCCTTTACCCAAGGGTCCACTGTAATAGGCTATATAGAAAAAAAGGATTTTTCTCTTATGTTGCTGCAGCACTGTTTTGGGCATTAGTGTCACTTTCTTTAGAGGCTCTATGGTGTCGCCCAAGACGGCCTCCCCCCCCCCCTTATGAAACACCAATGCCCACACACGAAAATTTTTATTTTTAGGTATGACAGAGTTTAAGGCTTTAAGTGATTATACACAAACTACTCACCTTGTGCCATACACAGACACAATAAAAAAAAAGAATGAAGTAACTTGGTTAACAGATGGGAATAGTTAGATGCAAGTAGGAAATGCCTAGCATGGGCCAAGAGGCAGTTTACTGCAGTGCTCCTCTATGCTTTGCTTAATTATCAATGTTATGGCTAAATATTTCTATTTATCTCACAATATGTTAAAGTTTTTTGGCACTATTTTTTTTTCAGTACTACTTTTGCCAAGTTTCAATTAGAATGTTTTTCGTGTCAGATCCATCAATCCTTTTGTTAAGTCTCTCAAAAACTAGGGTAGACTTAAGCATAAGATATGAGAAAAATGAATGATTTTTGAGAGAAAGAAAAGTCAGGGGTAAAACTATACACAGCATTGGGGTCTACAGCGGAACTTCGGGTTTCGTGATTAATCCATTCAAAAAAGTCTGACAAAAACCGAATCATATGAAAAGTGAAGCAATATTTCCTATAAGAAATAATGTAAATCCAATTAGTATGTTCCAGACACCCAAAAATATTAACAAAAAATACATTTTATAAAGAATAACTATAGTTTTACATACAGAAAACATTGAAAAATAAATATAAATGACTAACAAAATGGATAAATTAACAATTAACATCAATTTTACCTTTATTGAAGACTCTTGTTGGCGTATGGAAGACAGCAAGGGGAGAGGGAGGAGGAGAGGTTATTGTTTGGAAGGGGAATCCCTGGCCATAAGGAATTCATGTATCAAGGCCCTATCTGGAGTTACTTCCCTTCTTTGTCTTTTACTGGCACCAGGACCAGCTTGAGAGTCACTGGACCCCTGTGGCACAAAAAATCTGTCCAGAGAGCTGTTTCTGGCATCTCTAAGATTTGCCTAAAATGGGACAATTCATTGTCATTGAACATGTTGCAGACACAGCTTGCAATAGGGTGATATTTCTTCACAAAACTTTGCAACTCATTCCACTTAGCACACACGTCCTTAATCATTGAAGAAGGCACATTCTTCCCTCTCTCTTCCTCCTCCTCTGAAGCAATTTCCTCAGCTACAGTTTGTTGCTTTTCCAGTTAAAGGTCTTGCAGCTCTTCAATGGTTAGCTCTTCCCCTGTGGTTGTCCACCAACTCTCACATCCTGGCCACTCACATCGAACCCCATGGACTTCCCCAAAGACACACTAGATTCCACAACAGGCGTAGGGTCGTCAAGGTCAGCCTAAGAGCATCACATGCATTCAAAATCATGAACGCATGGGATGCTTTGTGTGGGCACTCTATTCCGGGAAATGAGTGGCCGAGTCACGTGTGCAGGCAGACAAGTTTAGTACGGACCATTTTCAACTGTGTGAAAACCGAGCAGATGTACAAAAACTGGGACAAAATTTTGACGAAAAAAATTCACCAAAAACTGAATCGTATGAAAACTAGGGCATGTGAAAGCCAAGGTTCCACTGTACTTGACACTCTGTTGGAACCAGATGTTAATGATATAGTCATATTCTTGTGAAGGACAAGTAGAACACCAGGAGGACTGGACTCATATATAATAGTATTATGGGAAAATGCAGTATGAAAAAGCAACAGGGTTTAAATAAAAATCATAGAAAACCCTAATTTATAACAAAGGGAACGTGATTATAGCAATTTACAAAAAAAAAAAAAATATGATTTTTATTAAGAATTAAAATCTTTGAAAAATGGGGAAAAAAAAAAGAACAGCTTTTGTGTGGTATACCTCAATGGTGTCCAAAACCCGTGGCAAGCCTAATTTATCAGCATCAATAACGTTGATAAATTTGTCACGAATCAGCTGCTGCAGATCTTCACTCCAAGATGGTGGAAACTTCTCTTTCACAAGGTCATAGTGAGTACCAACTATTAGAACAGGAGAGTTGGGAGCTCGAGCCTTGAAGGAAATACGCTACAGTAAGAACAGCTTGTAAAGTAGGTTTTGGAATAAAAATTAATTTATAGTAAGATTTGTTATGAAGGGCCTTTATATAGTGTGATTTTTCTTGTAAATGATATTGAAAAAGTACATTCAAAACTGAAAAGCAGATGAAAAGGCTTTCACAGAGCAAACTATTCTGCTTTGGATGCAACTTGTAAGTCACACTTACAGAAAAGAAAATTCAAGAGTGCCAAGGTATATAATTTTATTTTAATAAAAGTTAAAGTGGATTGTGGAAAAGAGATGTATAACTGGTTTATAAATAGATACAGTAAAGTTTAAAAATATATGCCACACAATAAAACAAATAAATATGGGACAGTAGTGACGTTAGGTTAGATAAGGTTCATCAGGAAACAGGACAAGCATTTCCTGACACAGGTCTAGTCAGATGATGACCTGCCACTTGAGCTTTTGGTCATCTGACCAAGGCCTTCTGCTGGCTTACCAGTCCACCCCCTTTAAAAATTATGTGAGACTTGTCAGCTTGACCAGAGAAAAGAACTATTGCAATAAAAAATGACAATTCATTTATATTTCTTAAAGTGCATATAACCTATTCATCAAACTCTTGTGTAATTTTCTGTACAGTGAATAAATTAAGGGTAATGAGAGAAGCTACTCACCTGAATATTAACTAGCCACTGTAAAATCTCTGCAACACCTCTCTCACCATCACTGATCTTCCACACAACAAGATATAGTGATCTCTTAGAGAGGAAATACTGGTGAGTAGCATAATATTCCTTCTGACCACCAAAGTCCCATGTCCTAGAAAAACAAATAAGTTTAGAAAGTTGTTATTTTCTTCTGGTATAAGAGAGTAACTTTATTATAACAGCTGTTCTTACACCTATGGTTTAGAGCTTTTAAAAAATATGAAGTTAATGAAAACTGATAATAACTATGGTTTTAATATGAATTTTATTTTCAAGGTACATAAAACAATCATCTTTAGACTTTAACCAGACAACAGATTTTTTGTTTGTTAAATTAGAAATCTGCTAAATTGAGATTTTTTTTTAGAATACAGAATTTACACTATATTGTCGTAAAAATAATTACGTAAGCTATATGACACAATACACTCCTAAAATGAGCCAAAAATTATAACTATTAACAGGAATATCATGTAATTTAATTTACTGCACATACAAGAAGCCTTCAAATCATGTTCTGCTGACCTGTAAGCCATATCTGACTTTGAATTTTATGTCCATGCTTAAATAAATCAAAACTGCAACTCACTCTAGTTCAGCTCAACACTATGTCAGGAAGGAATCAGCAATCTAATATAAAATGTTTGATGGGTATTTAACAGGTACAGTAAATGCTCTTAAAATGTAACTTCACAAAGCATGATTTTCTTGCAATGTAAAAAGAAAAAAGAGCATCCAAAAAATTAAAAACGCGCAAAAATCTTGATGTTACACGTCGTAAAGAATTAAGGAATCAGTGATTGTGCAAATCTTTAAAACTACACATCATAGCATCATACTGTGTGCAAAATTTTGGTACGACATGCCATAGCATTAAATTTTGGCAAATATCTGGGTACTCGACATGTACATGACTTGCTCCAGCACACTGACATCTCACACCACCTACAGTTGCCTTCTGGAAGCATCTTGTCTCTTTCTCTCACTCTGTGTTCATTAGACTATTTTGGATATTTTCATCACTATATTTGGTCTCTGGATATTAACCATGGCACCCAAGAGGAATACTAGTGATACTGGAGGTACTAAAAAGAATGAATATATACATTGTAAAACAAAATGAAAATTTTAAATATACAGAGAGGTAGTGCATATGTGAGGGGAAACTGCCAGTGAGTTTTATGTAAATGAATCAACCTTTAGTACAATTAACCCTTTGATTGCTTCGGTCATATATACATGTCTTACGAGCCACCGTTTTTGACTTATATATACATTACTCAAGTTCTAGCGGCTTCAAATCAAGCAGGAGAAAGCTGGTAGGCCCACATGTGAGAGAATGGGTCTGTGTGGCCAGTGTGCACCATATAAAAAAATCCTGTAGTACACAGTGCATAATGAGAAAAAAAACTCCAACCATTTTTTTTTTAATAAAATGCCGACTTTGTGGTCTATTTTCGTATAGTACAGTGGACCCCCGGTTTACGATATTATTTCATTCCAGAAGTATGTTCAGGTGCCAGTACTGACCGAATTTGTTCCCATAAGGAATATTGTGAATTAGATTAGTCCATTTCAGACCCCCAAACATACACATACCAACGCACTTACATAAATACACTTACATAATTGGTCGCATTGGGAGCTGATCGTAAACCGGGGGTCCACTGTATTTATGTTTGCATTCTCGTTTTCTTGGTCTCGTTTGATAGAATGGATAACATATTATATCTATAGAGGTCATTTTGATTGGTTTTACTATGAAAAAAAACTTGGAATGGAGCTCAAAGTAGGGGAAATGTTTGATTTTTGCCAATGTTCAAAAGTAAACAAATGATGTCATTTTCCAATAAATGTCCAAGTAGCCATTCTAGTATGCAATTATAAATGGGTTGACATTATTTATACAATTACAGTGGACCCCCGGTTATCAGCCTCAATCCGTTCCTGAAGGTCGGCTGATAACCGAAATGGCCGATAACCAAATTAACATTTCCCATAAGAATTAATGAAAATAAAATTAATTCGTTCCCAACAAAAATATTGACAAAAAAAATAATTTTTTTACAATTATGTAAGTATTACATACCTTTATTGAAGGCTAATGCTGGCTTCTGGAAGAGAGGGAAGAGTTAGTGTTTGGAAGGGGAATCCCCCTCCATGAAGACTTTAGGTAGCAATGCCTTCTCTGGGGTTACTTCCCTTCTCTGTCTTATAATGCCACTAGAACCAGCTTGAGAGTCACTGGACCCCTGTCTCACAAAATAACTGTCCAGGTGCTCTGTTTCTGGTGTCTCTTTTAGATTTCCCTGAAGTGGGACAGGGTTTTGTCACAAAGCATGTTGCAGATATGGCTTGTTTCAGCTTTGTCAGGGTGGTGTTTCTCTACAAAAGCTAGCACCCTGGTCCACATTGCACACACCTCTTTAATCTCTGAAGAAGGCACTTCCTTCACTCCCTCTTCCTCCTCCTCTGAAGCAAGTTCCTCAGCTGCAGTCTGTTGCTGTTCAAGTTGAAGCTCTTGCAGCTCTTCAGTGGTAAGCTCTTCCCTGTGGTCCTCCACCAACTCTTCCACATCATCACCACTCACCTCCAACCCCAGGGACTTCCCCAAAGACACAATAGAGTCCACAGGGTCGGCTGGGTCAGGGTCACGGTGAGTCTCAAACCCTTCAAAATCCCTCTCTTGGACACAATCTGGCCACAGTTTTCTCCAAGCAGAGTTCAAAGTCCTGGAAGTCACTCTCTTCCAAGCCTTACCTATAAGTCTTATGCAATGGAGGATAGTGAAGTGATTCCTCCAGAACTGTCTTAGGGTCAACTGAGGTCACGTCAAAGCACTTTTGAAGCACTGCTTTTGTGTAGATATTTTTGAGGTTAGAAATGACCTGCTGGTCCATGGGCTGGAGGAGAGGAGTGGTGTTGGGAGGCAAGAACTTCACTTTTATAAAACTGAAGTCCCTAAACACTTGGTTTTCCAAGTCTGGAGGATGTGCAGGAGCATTGTCCAGTAACAGGAGGCACTTGAGTGGAATTTCTTTTCCAGGAGGTATTTTTTCACACTTGGGCCAAACACATTATTAACCCACGCTTTGAAAATCTGCCTTGTGACCCATGCCTTATGATTAGCTTTCCACATAACATAAACATAAATAGACACTGCAGCAGCCTTGCCCACTAGCAGTCTTTCATTCATCCCACTAACAAACATTTGACACCATTTTCAATGCTACACAAGAAAGTTCATTAACCCCTGATGTGCAAGTCCCACTCAAACCAAAACCCCTCAACTCATGTACTTCCCAACTTTATCCAGCATCTATTCCTTCAGTACATGTTATCATAAAAACTTGGATTTTCTGAGTGATACACAATAAAGGCTTCACTTGAATCCCACTAGCTTACACACAACGAAAGAACTGTCTTTCACAGGCTTGATCCTGCAGTGCCTTTTCCTCAATTGGTAAATTGTTAGTCCTCTTACATTTCTTCCAAAACAGTCTGTTTCGTCACAATCTTTAAAACTGTTGGTCGAATCCATCAGCCTTTTACATAGCCCTCTATTTGTGAACATTCTTCAGCTGCACATTTGTCAGAACTGCAGCCTCAACCATGCCTTACAACACTGTGTATCCACATCTTCTTAAATCTATCAAACCATCCTTTGCTGCCAAATCACAAACTCAGCACTTGTTCCAGCATTTTCTTTGCAAGATCCTCATGAACGCTTCCTTCTCACAAAATAACTCACTACATTGTCCATTCCTCCATAATTCCTTTTCTTATCACAATTAAAAAACTTTCCTTTTCCTCCATTATCGTGTCCTTTGTAGTTAAAATGTACTCCTTTTTTGCAACTAGTGTCTTTGATTTGTTCTTCTTTGCCAGATGGATTAATGTTGATTTATTCTTGCTGTACATCCTGGCAAGTTCCATCACCTTCATACCACTCTCAAACTTTTTGATCACTTCACGCTTAAATTCCATGGTGTTTCTCACTTTCTTTACCACAGGAACTTTACTAAGAACTTTCTTTGGAGCCATGGTTACTTATATCACAGTTGCACTGCAAGAAAAACCACTAAAAACAATGGTAAACAAGTGAAATGTATGGATGTATGAGCAGAAGCCCCCTCAGTCCACCGAGAGACAAAGCCAAACTGAAGCGCAAGCGCCCCAGCCGGTGGATGGATGCGTCCAAAACCGCTGATAACTGAGCGAACGGCTGATAACCAGGCACCGAAAAACCCGCCGATAACCGAGCTGGCTGATAACCAAACCGGCCGATAACCAGAGGTCCACTGTATTACTATATTGCAGTACTCTGCATAACAGTAAATCTTTTATTTTTTGTTTGAATAAAAATTCAGAATAGAAAGCAAGAGTAATATCAGAGTAGCCTAGAGACGTGACTGATGAACATAGAAAATGTTATTTTAGAGCCAGGAATGTCTGCACTGTTCATTTTGGACCCTATTTTGAAATTATCATATTTTTTAATTTTCATGAATTGGCCAATTGCAAATTTCTGACCACGTTACTGGGTAGTTGAAATCGGTAAATGGGCAGTTTCTTGTACTCAATCGATAGAAAAAATGGAGCTCTAAAGAAATAGCTATGAGTTTGGTCGACTGGAACAATGGAATCAGCCGAAAATAGGGCTCAAAGTGGGCGAAATCGCCGATTCGTAAATATAGCCGAGGTCGCTAATTTCACTAGAGAGTAATTCCGTCAGTTTTCCATCAAATTTCATTCTTTTGGTGTCATTACAATCGGGAAAAGATTCTCTATCATTTCATAAGAGAAAATAATTTTTTTTTTTTAATTTTTAGACATCAGGAGACACCTTAAGATTTGGGGTTGTGACAGTCAAGGGGTTAAAAATGATAAAAAAAATAATAAGAGGGTGTGCATTATGTAGTGCATAGAGAGTCACATGTCAAAAGAATGTCAAGACAGAAAAGCTAATGAATGTGTGAAATGTGGATAAATCAAAGAATGGAGCCTCACTTAGTGGTCAGAAAATAATGCACAAAGCCCTGCCATACTATAAAACTATATGAGAAAAGGAAGGAGAGCCTTCACAATGGTATATGTTTAGTTAAGGATGGCTTAAGAATTTTAAAAGTGCACTGTAGAACAAATGAGCATTCTAATATTATACAACCATCAACTACTGAAAACTCTACATCTACATCAACACAAGAACCACAGCCATCAGCTTCAGCCCAGTAGGACTCAACCCTCTCCACACTCTTCCACTTTAAAAATAAAGATTACCAGAATACAAGGCAAGTTATACTGCAATAATTTTGACTTAGTACAATAAAAAAAGGAATTTGTTTTTCCCACATGTTCATCTAATGTAATGCTCTTATTGTACATTATAATTTTCAGGAACATAACCCATACATCATGAGAGATTACTGTATTCACCACCCACACTGAAATGGTATTAAATTATCTTTTTGAGGGATCTAAGAAAGATGTTTTAATCAAGGAGGCGCCATAAAATGCTTTTTAATATAAGCCTTTAATAAGATTCTGCAATATTTTAAGCCCAATGCTGTTTTTAGGAGATGGAAGTAGAACTTTACTAATCCATAAACACCATTTTATAATAATTTTCATAAGGTTCTGAATCTAAAAATATTAGAATTACAAACCTGAAGACCACTGGACCATAGTTGCTGTGGCCTCTAACTTTCTTTTCATATATCCAGTCTCCGATGTCGACACCCACTGTGGACATGCTGGTGCCTCGTGAGGTGCGTGTGTTGATGTTTTTATTCCCCATTCTTTTTGCCCAATGCTACAAATAAATTGCAACATTATTAAATAAGCCAATTGTTAATTTAATGCATAAATGAGTTTGCAATATATAATTTTACTCAAGCAAAATTTATTTCAAATTTGAACACTTAATTTTGCTTAATGTTCCATTTCTAATCATCATTATCCAGACTGGAAAGAGAGACATGTTCCATTTATAAATGAATTAGCAAAGGAAAATGAGAAACAAAAATACCTGAAAAAAGATTAAGACTATTTTATAGCACTTACTTCAACAGGCTTTTTCCTGTAGGATCCAGTCCCTTCATGGCGCAGTTGTTCCAGGAGAGAAGTCTTACCAATACCCTGAACACCTACTATCATTAACTTCATTCTTGCATATGGTCTTGCATCCTCCAGTATGCTCTGCAATAATCAAAACTATTAATTGATCTCAGTTACTTAAGGTAACACTGACATGGAAGAATTGTTGCCCTTTCTTCCACGAATCATTCTTTTTTCTGCTGACAGAGTTCACATTTAGTTTTATACTGAAAAGTTAGCTACATTTAGTGATGGTTCCTGGACATTTGTGGCTGGTTGTAATTGTGTGGGGATAGTTGTGAGAGGGTGGTTGTGTGAGTGGTTTTGAGAGGGTGGGTGTGTACAGGTGGTTGTGTGGGGGTGGTGTGTGGGGCATGGTTCCCAGCAGGGGCTGATGCTGGAATTGCCTGCCTTCCTGCCTGGGGACATAACTAATGAACAAAGGAAATGTTTTTTTTTAGTGCCAGGAATGTCTACATTATTTATTCTGGACAATATTTTTAAATTAGCAATTTTTTAATTTTGTGTTAAATTGGGTAAATTACCGATTTCTGGTCACTTTACGGGGTAGTTGAAATAGGGAAATGAGCAGTTTCTTGTGCTCAACAGAATAGAAGGAATACTAGTGAAATATATATGAGTTTGGTCTACTGGAACAATAGAATTGGCCGAAAATAGAGCTCAAAGCGGGCAAAAATCACCGATGTGGAAATATTGCCAAGACTACTAACTTTGCAAAAGCGTAAATCCATAAGTTTCCCATCAAATTTCATACATTTGCTTTCATTACCTTTGAAAAAGGCTTTCTATCATTTCATAAAAAAAATTTTTTTTTTCAAATTCTTCGACCCTAAAAGCAGTGGTCAGATCATTTAATCACTGACCTTAAGATACCCAATAACATCCATGGTTTTATATTTCTTGCTTTCAATCATGGACTTAAGCGGCTCTTGTAATGAACATGCTCGAGTGTTGAGATTCCAGAGGCGAGACAAGAGACCCATCTCCGGTGGCAGCTCAGTAATGTCACTATTTCCTGATATATTTAGTACCTGGGGAAAATATGAAGAAAATAGATATCCCTTAAAAGGTAGCTAACAAACTAAATATATTAAAAGTAGAAATCCTTCAATTTAATAGACCACAATTTAACAGATTTCTGATTTAACCCTTAAACTGTCCAAACGTAGATCTACGTTTTTTCAACATTTGAAAGTATGTAAAATAGTAGATTTTTTTTTTTTTACATTTGAAAACGTGTAAAAAACTTTGATCTTTTTTTTTTATTATATTTGAAAATACGTAAAAAAACATAGATCTACTTTTGAAGCACTACGCATATGAACATAGATCTGCTTGGACAGTTTAAGGGTTAACATACAAAATATGTTACCAGACAAAATTTGGAAGCAACTGACAACATAAAGAAAGGACGGACAATATCCACCAACTCCAGAAATGTCCATTACTATTATTGCAGTCTGCTGGGTAAATTAATTTTGGATTTAATAAACAAGTTTATTTAAAACCAGAATTGTCTGCTACAGTTATGGGCAATTCTGGATTTAAAGGACAAAATCTGTTAAACCAAATTATCTTTTTCGCTGCAGTCTGTATAAATTGTTTTCAATTTAACAATGAAATTCTTTAAATCCAGAATTGTCCATTCTGCTTGATCGTCGGCTCAAATGCCAGAATACCTAAACTATCAACGGGCCGTCAAACTTCTATTTTTAAAAATTTTTTTTGTCTCGTTTAAACAAAAAAAAAAAAAATTTACTTATAAATACTTAAAACAACATACAACAGTTTTTTTTCCTGTAATACTTTGTCATTTCAATTATTTTAGCATAAGTTGATGGGGCCATATTCGGGCAGTGAGCATGGGGGGACTGGCTCCATGGACGACCCATCACGGGCTACGATTAAGAAAAACAATCTCATCATTCGGATTTAATCGAAAATTTGGGCATTAACGAAATTTCCTTCTTTTAGTTTTTTAACCCAAACGGTCCAAACGATACAGTGGCCCCCTCAACCAGAAATTTTAATCCTTCCCGAAGCCCATCGTTAGTCAAAATAATCGTTATCAATTTTAATTTTCCCCCATAAGAAATAAGGAAAAAAATTTAATTCTTGCAAGACACCCAAAAGTATTAAAAAAAAAAAAAATTTTCCCACATAAATATTAATTTAATACACCAAATGAAGTTACACTGCAGTTACATGACACTTCCCTTTCATTGAAATCGGGTGAGATTGATGGGAGGGGAGGAGGGAGAGCGTTTATTTTCTTAGTTTAAAAGGGGGAAAACCCCTGCCATTAGCACTTGAGGCAGCAAGTCTTTTTCGGGTTACTTCCCTTTTTTCTTTTAATCCCACTAGACCAGTTTTGAGATTGCGGGACTTCTGTCCACAACATATCTTTCCGGGGCCCTGTACCTCTCTTTTCCTTTTAAATGACTTTCCTAAAGTGGTTCCAACATTGTCGAACAGGTTCCAAACACGGCTTGCATAGCTGTTCGGGGTGATTTCACCCATAAAGCTTTGCACTAAACCACATTGCACAGATTTCCTTAACTTAGAAGTGAAATTTTCTTCAATTTCTCTCTCCCCTCCTCCAAAGCAGTTTCCCAGGTCGCCCTCTTGCTTTTAAGATGACTACACCAAGGGGTTTTATTCTTCACTGTCCTCCACCACCAACCTTCCCATCCTCCCCTAACCTCCAACCCCAAGGACTTCCCCAATGCCAAATGGATTCCTCAACGGCATAGGTTTCTCGGGGTTAGCCCAACCCTTCAAAACCTTTTTTTGTCTAACATTCTGGCCACAGTTTTTTCCAAGCAGAGTTCAATGCCCCTTTATCACTTCCTCCCAAGCCTTACCTAAATTTTACAAAATTTGAGGATGGTAAAATGATTTTCCAAAACCTTTTTAATGGGTTTTTGATTTTCTGAGGTCACTACAAAGCGCCTTTCAAACATAGTTTTTGTGTACAGTTTTTTAAGTGGAAAATAACCTGCGGGCCAGGGGGCGCGGGAGGGGAGGTTTTAGGAGGCAAAAACTTCACCTAATGAAGCTCATGTCCCTATACAGTCCTCTGCCCATCTGTAGGGACCAGGGCATTTCTAATCCCCGGGAGGCACAAAGGTCAATTTTTTTTAAATTAGGTAATTTTTCACATCGGGGGGCAAATGCATTTTAAACCCAGCCCCATAGAAAAAGTCCCTATGACCCATCCTTACTTTTCCCCTCCACAGCACACACAAATTAGCCTTTAGGACATTTTTTTTTCCTGAAAATCTGGGGTTTCAGAGTGATACACCAATAAAGGGTTTACTTTGCAATCACCAAGCATTGGCACACATCAACAAAGTAAGCCTTTTTCATAGGCTTTGTCCTGGGAGTGCCTTTTTCCCCTGAGAATGTACGTCCTGCTTGGGATTTTTTTTCCAAAAAAGGGCCCGTTTCGTCACAATTAAACACTTGTTCAGGTTTCAGTCCTTACTGCTTTGTACTCCCCGAAGTCCTGACATATTTTTCAGCCGCTTGTGGCCGAACTGCAGCCTCACCATGCCTTTCACACTATGTGCCACAACCTTTTTAAATCTCCCCAAACCAACCTTTGCTGGCCTTAAATTCACCACATCACTAGTTGCTGGCATTTTTTTAATTTAAAACGTCATGCAACTTCCTAGCTTTTTTACATAACGCTTAAGATCTTCCCCCTCTATCCCGTTTTTTTGTTTTCCCCACCAATAAAATCCTCAACCCGGTACTTGCGATCTCATTTTGAAAACATGTTTTTCACCTTTGGGAAAACATTCCCTTGATTGCCATTTTTTTTTGCCAAAAAATTAGCGATGGTTATTGGGGGTTTATTATACAAAACCGACCACTCAGAGATAGCCCCTCCACTTTTATATTTATCAATGATCCTTTTTTCCTCCTAGTAATTCTCACCCTTTTTGCTGTAGGGGTTGGCACTAAAGTTTCTTGGGGGCCCTGGGGACTTATTTTGCAGGGGGCAATCACTAAAAAGGCTGTGATAATATAAATGTTTTCCGTTGTTGTTTGGAAGCGACCCGGGGCTGCTGCTTGTAAACACTGGCACCAAAAGGGACAAGTGAGGCGCGCTCAGCCAAAGTGGACCGTAGGGACGGAACAAAACGCTGGCAGGTTTTTAATGCTAGTTGAGGGAAAATTTTTTCGTTTAAAAAAATCGCAGTCAGATTTATCGTTAATCGATGCAATCGCTGGTTGAGGGGCCCCCGTAATATGTTCACTTGCGCAGGCCCCGAATAAAATTAAGGTCATATTACAGAATAGAGGCTGAGAAGTTGGGGGGGGGGGCCATGTGAGGCAACATGGAGTCCCCCACTTGCAGAAGTGTTGCTGATAAACCTTTTTTTACTTTTCATATTATTTTAATAATTTTTATGTTTTGATAATTACAATTTAAGTATTTTTGTCTTTTTTAACCATCTTTTTTCGACACTAGTATTAGGCACTGTTTACTCAAAATTGTCCCCAAACACATTACAGGGGGACATTTACACCTGCCTTGGTCATTTACTATTTTTTTTTTTTAACAAGTCGGCCGTCTCCCACCGAGGCAGGGTGACCCAAAAAGAAAGAAAATCTCAAAAAAGAAAATACTTTCATGAACATTCAACACTTTCACCTCACACATAATCACTGTTTTTGCAGAGGTGCTCGGAATACAACAGTTTAGAAGTATATACGTACATATAAAGATACACAATATATCCCTCCAACTGCCAATATCCCAAACCCCTCCTTTAACCCTTAAACGGTCCAAACGTATATATAAGTTCACGCGCGTAGCGCCCCAAACGTATATATACGTTTTCTTTGTCATTCATTCAACATTGCCACAATAAGCCTGAGTCACCTAGACATGAGAGAATGGGTGTGCACACTCACTGTGTGCAATATTAAAATAATTGGGGATGCCTGGGCACAATATGCTCTTTTTTCCTTTTAAAAGAAAAGATTTGTTTTTTCCTCAAAAAATTTGGGGCGCTACGCGAGTGAATGTATACATACGTTTGGACCGTTTAAGGGTTAAAGTGCAGGCATTGTACTTCCCATTTCCAGGACTAAAGTCCGGCTATATAAAATAACCGGTTTCCCTGAATCATTTCACTAAATATTACCCTGCTCACACTCCAACAGCTCGTCAGGTCCCAAATACCATTCGTCTTCATTCACTCCTAACAGTCACGCATGTTTGCTGGAAGTCCAAGCCCCTCGCCCACAAAACCTCCTTTATCCCCTCCCTCCAACCCTTTCGAGGACGACCCCTACCCAGCCTTCCTTCCCCTACAGATTTATACGCTCTCCATGTCATTCTACTTTGATCCATTCTCTCTAAATGACCAAACTACCTCAACAACCCCTCTTCAGCCCTCTGACTAATACAGTGGACCCCCGGTTAACGATATTTTTTCACTCCAGAAGTATGTTCAGGTGCCAGTACTGACCGAATTTGTTCCTATAAGGAATATTGTGAAGTAGATTAGTCCATTTCAGACCCCCAAATATACACATACAAACGCACTTACATAATTGGTCGCATTGGGAGGTGATCGTTAAGCGGGGGTTCACTGTACTTTTATTAACCCCACACCTTCTCCTAATTTCCACACTCCGAATTTTCTGCATAATATTTACACCACACATTACCCTTAGACAGGACATCTCCACTGCTTCCAACCGCCTCCTCGCTGCAGGATGTACAACCCAAGCTTCACACCCATATAAGAGTGTTGGTACCACTATACTTTCATACATTCCCTTCTTTGCCACCATTGATAACGTTCTTTGTCTCCACATATACCTCAAAGCACCACTCACCATTTTTCCCTCATCAATTCTATGATTAACCTCATCCTTCATAAATCCATCCGCTGATACGTCAACTGAGGCTTATTTTCGAGTCACGGTAAACCGTGGATAACTGAAACTACACAAACTGAATCCATGGATTCGGGAGAGGATTTTGGGGGGTCAATAACCCCACGGCCCAGTCTGAGACCAGGCCTCGTGGTGGATCACGGTCTGATCAACCAGGCTGTTACTGCTGGCTGCATGTAAACTGATGTAAGAACCACAGCCCGGCTGATCAGGTACTGACTTTAGGTGCCTGTCCAGCACCTTCTTGAAAACAGCCACGGGTCTATTGGTAATCCCCCTTATTTATGCTGGGAGGCAGTTGAATAGTCTTGGGCCCCTGACACTTACTGTCTTGTCTCGTGTACTCGGGCACCCCTGCTTTTTACTGGGGAAATGCTGCATCTCCTGCCGAGTCTTTTGCTTGTGTAGCGAGTGATTTTCCTGTGCAGGTTTGGTGCTAATCCCTCTAGGATTTTCCCAGTGCATATAATACTGTATCTTTCTCGCCCGCATTCCAGGGAATACAAATCAAGGGACTTCAACCATTCCCAGTAATTTAGGTGCTTTACTGTACTTGTGTGTGCTGTGAAAGTTCTCTGTACATTCTCCAGGTCAGCAATTTTGTCTGCCTTGAAGGGGGCAGTTAGTGTACAGCAGTATTCCAGCCTAGAGAGAACAAGCGACTTGAAGAGACTTGGTTTATTTAATTCATGTTTTCTTCTCAGAATCTTGTTTAGCTAATAGTATTGCATTATATCAGACTTCAAGGATTTTGTTTTGCACTTTGTAGATTTATAATTTAGGGAAATAATCAGCCTTTCTCCTAATGTCTTCTTTTTATGTATTTGGATAATTTTGAAGTGATTTTGTTTACAACAATATGAGACTTCATTAAAACTCATTTTGGAGAGCTACAACAGAACACATGAAGACAAGGCAAGGAATAAGTATCTCTTTGATGTACCAGGTGTATGACTTGACCTGTTCACAAACTCCATGCAAATACAAGATCCTAAAATATGGAACTTGCTGCCTGAAAATGCCAAAAGTTCCCTATCTACCAACAGCTCTCATGACATTGTTAAGAAACACCTATCAAATCTTGCTTAAATGTCATATCCAGTTAACTTTTTGACTGTCGGTGTTGTATATATACGTCTTACGAGCCAGTGTAGGTGACATATTAATACACCATAATTCAAGTGGCTTCAAATCAAGTGGAAGAAAGCTGGTAGGCTCACATGTGAAAGAATGGGTCTGTGTGGTCAGTGTGTGCAGTATAAAAAAAATCCTGCAGCACGCAATGCATGAGAAAAAAAAAAACCCTGACCGTGTTTTTATATTAAAATGACGACGTTGAGGTGTATTTTCGTATAATATTTATAGTTGTATTCCCGTTTTCTTGGTCTCGTTTGATAGAATAGAAAACATATTACAGAAATAGAGTTGATTTTGATTGGTTTCATGATGAAAAGGACCTTGAAATTGAGCTCAAAGTAGCAGAAATGTTCAATTTTGCCGATGTTCAAGAGTTAACAAATGATGTCACCGTCCAATAAGTGTCCAACTAATATGCAGTCACGAGTGGGTTGACATTATTTATACAATTATTACAATAATGCAGTAGTCTGCATAACAGTAAATCTTCTACTTTTTGTATGAATAAAAATTCAAAAATAGAAAGCAAGAGTAATATAAGGGGCCTGGAGACATGACTAATGAACAGAGAAAATGTTATTTTAGTGCCAGGAATGTCTGCATTGTTTATTCTGGACCCTATTTTGAAACTGGCATCTTTTTTAATTTGTGTGAAATTGGCCAAATTGCCAATTTCTGACCACTTTATTGGGTAGTTGAAATCAGTAAGTAGGCAATTTCTTGTACTCAATCAATAGAACAAATGGATTTCTAAAGAAATAACTGAGTTTGGTCAACTGGAACAACGGAATTGGCCAAAAATAGGGCTCAAAGTGGGCAAAATTGCCGATGAGCATATACTGCCTAGATCGCTAACTTCGTGGAGAACACAATTCCATAAGTTTTCCATCAAATTTCGTACTTTTGGTGTCATTACCACCGGGAAAAGATTATCATTTCGTAAGAAATTTTTTTTTCCGAATATTTTGCGGCACAGAGAGACACCTTAGGATTTGGGGTCTTGACAGTCAAAGGATTAATGCCTATCATACTATCATTTCCCACTGACCTTTAAATACATATTAGAATTTTCATAATACTATCCATAAAAACCAATTTTATTCCCTATCATTGTAAATTATCATCATCATGTTATTCATGTAAAGTGCTAAACCCATGTGGGCTATTCAGCATAAGACATGGTGGAGGCTTGATCCTCCATCTGCTGAGCACGAGACTGATGCATTTCCTATTTGTACTCACCTAGTTGTCCTATCATTGTAAAACATTCTCTTTGTTTTTCAGTAACATCTTAATTAATTTGTAAATATGCTTACACATTCCATCACTCCAAAGCATTTACTTTTTCTTTGGCCTTACCAACACTCTCTCTCAGCCTATGTAGAGGAATTTGTACAAAAACGAGCATAATTTACCACTTTGATATGTCTTCATAACTTTTATGAACTAAAATAGTACTCTACCAACTCTGGAGAAAACTATGGCCTTCATATGATGTACAGTTTGTTGACAGTATTTATATACATTTCACGGGAACAGCATATTTCCAACTTACAGATAAGTTTGTAAGCTCATGAAGTGTTGTGGGCAAATCCCGCAGAAGGTTGTTGCTAACATCCAACATGGAAAGATTAGGAAACAGCAACCAGGATTTCCTAGGGGTACTGGCTCGGACGGGGTTTGTCTGAAATTAACAGTCATAAAGAGCTGTGCTTTTCTTGCTTAAAATTATAACTTGTTAAAAAGACTGCCTCTGAAATTATAACTGACTAAAAGGCATAGGAATTACCAAACAAAAATCACAAAATAATAATCAGCCTTATCATAAATGATATCAACAAAACTGAATAATATACTGAACTTACTTCATTTTCATCAACTTCATTCACCAGTGAGAATTCGTTGTCATCTAGATATAAGCAGAGTCGAGTCAACTGATTATCTGCCAAAATTAGCGTTCGCAGAGACTCGAGACGAATATGTCGTCGGTGGACACAGTGACCAGGTGTGGGGGAGGAGCCAAGGGGAGAGCTTGTACCTCCTCTTACACGAGGCACGTTAAGATTCTGACCAAACTTGCGTCCTGCACAATTATTTTGTGGGAGGAAGGAAAAGGATGGGTGTTTACTAGTTCTAGCTACTGGCACAACATTGGGAAGGGAGAAGAAACAGTAACACAATTTGTAGTGGATGAGCAATAAAATTTTTATACTGTATAATGATAAAACTCTGATGCTCTTTCCATAAATACGTAGGTAAAACTAAATAAAAATTCTCATTATTTGTGATATTTTTACTAAAATTAAACTAAGAGCAGCAAAGAACCTAATTTACCAAAATATTAGCTATTAAAAACTTTATATATTACTGATTCCTGAATTCACAGTAGAATACAGAACAGTAACTAAATATACTGATTTTCAAATTAAATACAATACCTTGGCATGAAAATCTGCTACTCTTTGAGATTTCTGCAAGTGCATAGCACGATGACAGAGTAGATTCAAGACTTTCCAGGGACTCACTATGGGCCACTGTGGGCCAGGCTCGGATACGATTGTGAGACAGGTCTAACTGTTTCAATCCAACTGGGTAACTGCTGGCTGAACCCATTTCATTTAGTCTGTAAAAAAGGAAGATGTTTTACAAAAGCATATCAGCAAAAAAAAAAAAAAAAAAAAAAAAAAAATCCAACAAGTCAGCTGTCTCTACTACTAGTACTAGTACTAGTAGTAGTAGTAGTAGTAGTAGTAGTAGTAGTAGTAGTAGAGGAGGTAAGTAGTGGTAGAGGTAGTAGTGGGGAATAAGGAGGAGGAGCCAGTCAAATACAAAGGAAGGGGAGCACTGCAAGGGAGCTAGGTGCCCACAGAGGGAGAGCAAGCGCACAGAGGTGGGTGAAAGGGGAAGTGGTGAAATAAATAAAGAAGGAAGAGAAACACGAGACATAAGAGAGAAAGACAACCCAGAGGAGAAAAAGGAAAGAGGAAAGGGGAAGAGGAGAAGAAGAAAAAGAAAAAGAAAAATATTTATATATACCGTTCCAGTCACGGTATTGTGCTTTTTTTTGTTATTCACAATCACTGTCTTTGCGGAGGCGCTCAGATACAACAGTTTAGAAGTCCCTCCAAACTGTCAATATCCCAGACCCCTCCTTTAAAGTGCAGGCATTGTACTTCCCATTTCCAGGACTCAAGTCTGGCTAAATCTACAATAACCAGTTTCCCCGAAGCCCTTCAATAAATATTACCCTGCCCACACTCCAACAGCTTGTCAAGTCCCAAAAACCATTCGTCTCCATTTACTCCTGTCCAACACGCTTGCTGCAAGTCCAAGCCCCTATCCCACAAAACCTCCTTTATCCCCTCCCTCCAATCTTTTCGAGGATGACCCCTACCCCACCTTCCTTCCCCAACAGATTTATAGGCTCTCCAAGTCATTCTACTTTGATCCAATCTCTAAATGACCAAATCACCTCAACAGCCCCTCTTCAGCCCTCTGACTAAACCTTTAGTAACTCCACACCTCCTAATTTCCACACTCCAAATTCTCTGCATAATATTTACACCACACACTGCCCTTAGACAGGACATCTCTACTGCCTCCTCACTGCATCATTTACAACCCAAGCTTCACACCCATATACGAGTGTTGGTACCACCATATTTTCACACATTCCCTTCTTTGCCTCCATAACGTTGCTGTCTCCACAGATACCTCAACGCACCACTCGCCTTTTTTTCCTCATCAATTCTATGGTTAACCTCATCCTTCATAAACCCATCTGCTGACAAGTCAACTCCCAAATATCTGAAAACATTCACTTCTTCCATACTCCTCCTCTCCAATGTGATATCCAATTTTACTCTATCTAAATCATTTGATACCCTCATCACCTTACTCTTATCTACGTTCACTTTCAACTTTCTACTTTTAACACGCCCTCCCAAACTCGTCCATTAACCTATGTAACTTTTCTTTAGAATCTCCCATAAGCACAGTATTATCAGCAAAAAGTAACTGTGTCAACTCCCATTTTGTACTTGATTCCCCATAATTTAATCCCACTCCTCTCCCCAACACCCTAGCATAAACTTTTTTTTTACATCTATAAATGTATTAATCTATAAATATACTAATCTATAAATATATTATTCTATAAATATATTAACCTATAAATATATTAATTGTAGGTAGTAGGTTGGAAGACAGCAACTGCCCAGGGAGGTACTACTGTCCTGCCAAGTGAATGTAAAACAGAAACTTGCATTTGTTTTACATGATGGTAGGCTTGCTGGTGTCTCTTTTTCTGTCTCATAAACATGCAAGATTTCAGGTATGTCTTGCTACTTCTTCTTACACTTAGGTCACACTACACATACTTGTACAAGGTAAATGGTCCAAGTCGGACAGAAACATTGTCGTAAGCTCCTCTCCTCTATGTGTGGGTTATTTGTGTACAAGTATAACGAAAGAAAGAAAAAAAAGAGACTTATTATATTGAATATTATCGATAATATCGAGTGAAAACAGGGGGTGCTGCAGTTCTGTAGTGCTTATACACGAGCCACCAGTGGTCATTTGCCATGTCTGCTATGTTCTCCATCACTTCCTTCAGATGCCAATCAAACCCATAAAAATCATGTACTAAATGAGAGGTTAATTTCTTCCAGATACCATTCATGGCTGACTCCTGAATTTCATTCTAGGCCTTCGCAATGTTCAACATGGCTGAGGAATGATGTACTCCTTCCAAAAATCTTAACCATTTCTCCAGTGTAAACCTAATTACAACCACTACAAGGGATGCTGTAGACTCCTGCATTCCTGGAACCTGTATAGGGCATATAAGTCCTTGTGATGTCTTAGATGATTTTGGTGGGAACCACAGCAATACTGATCATGGATTTTCATCATGTAGATGTCACTGTGTTGGCTATGGTACTAGGAGGTAATGTGTATCTTCTGCTCAGCAGCCTTCAACTTCAAATTTCCTATCACATGATCTTTCATTGCAAATGTAAAGCAGACATGACACACATCAATGCCACCATGTACAACAACAATGAATGAAGATATATACATATTACAAGATAATGTTGGATCAGAAAGTAGGAGAGCAAAACTGTAAAGTCTCGCATTTTCAATCTGCTGTGACGAGGTCAAAAGAATGCACCAGTGTTCAAAAAATTTTGAAGGAGGGTGGAAAAACAAACCACATTCACTCTACAATGTTCTCACTGTAATCCTCACTGCATCAGTGTAGTTCTCTTTTACACACACTTTCTCACTTACTAGTATTACCAAACCATCTCCATGTAAATTCCAGGTAAGGATGTACAACATGAGTAGATACTCCAACGTAAATAGCATGACAGTGTGTAATTAATGTAATGTATGAAATGTATACTTTTTTGTTTTAACACACTGGCTGTCTCCCAATGAGGCAGGGTGACCTAAAAATGCACCACTATACTGTGTTAAGCTGTTAATGCACTTAAATATTCTTTTCCAATCATTAATACATTGGTTGTAAATAATTTATGCATTTGTGCCTTGAGAAAATTTTTAAGTTAGGAGGGGAGGTAGTTAATAAACATGATTACAGCATGAGGCTTTAGACAGAATATTCACTTGGACACGCTCCACACAGTGGAAATATTGAAAAAACTATGGAATTCTGAATGAAAGTTTTGCACATTACTTTAGCCCAGACATTTTTATTTTACATTTTACAGGTCCATTGGTGTTAATACAATATTTTTATTTTATTATAAAGTCGACCCTTAAATTGTGCCAGATGTGGAAATAAAAATTCCCATGTGGGGCAAAATTTTGAAACATTTTTTCTTACAGATTGAAGAAGCTTATTTCTCATTTCTCAAAAAAAGTATCCAAAACAGTTGGGATCCTCTCCAAGGTATGATACTACGTGCCGCAAAATGCCCTTCTCACACTATATCATTCACTTATTTATCCATACCTCACCTATGCTATTTGTGCTTGGGGATCAACTGCAGCAATACACCTAAAGCCAATAATAACTCAACAAAAAGCCGCAGTAAGAATAATCACTAAATCCTATCCATGGCAACACCCCCCCCCACTCTTCATAGATCTAAACTTACTCCCTGTTCAGAACATCCACACTTACTACTGTGCAATCTACATATACAGGACCTTAAAATCCAATATTAACCTTGACCTAAAATGCTTTCTTGATAGTTGTGACAGGACCCACAAGCATAACACCAGACACAAACATCTCTACGACATTCCCCGTGTCCGACTAAACCTTTACAAAAATTCAATGTATGTCAAAGGCCCTAAAATCTGGAACACCCTACCTGAAAACTCTAGAACTGCAGACACATTCATCACCTTCAAAACTACCATTAAAAAACATCTTATCTCCCTGATACACCCCGTCAACTAACTACATAAAAACCACCTGGTGGTTCACACTTACACTCACTCACTCACCCATTAGATTATAAACACAGAAATACGAACCTTAATCATAAAATAATGAATCCTAACTAGTCATAAGGTTGCCTGTGATACTCCAATATAAAAACTATGTCTTGTGCCAAAACTAAAGCATTCACATTGCTAAACTCACAAACTAGTATTTAGTCACTTAGTATTTAGTCAACTTACTCAACAATTTGTAATAATTTAGGGTTATGAATTAATCTAAGTTTGCCCGAAATGCCTAGCCATGCTAGGTGTTCTAGTGGCCCCCTCTGAAATTAGTATTTTATTACATGTAAACCACACAATAACCAAAATCTGTAAACCCCGCATTGTAATCCTTATAGAGAATAAACTTTGATTTGATTTGAAATAGAGCTGTGAAAAGAAAATTAAAATTAATGTTAAACTTACAGTAAAGATGGTTGAAGTTGCAGAAATATAATTCATAGCAACTTGTTCAGACATTTACTGATGTACAATTAACATCGTGGTGATGACAATGGTGATTGATTTGTCACCAAAATATTGACTGCACTTATCTTGAGAAGATGGAAATCTTTCTCACGTGCTATGAAAACTTACAGTTTTATGGTGTGCTGAAGGCAGTTAAAAATGACCACTTGTTGACATTAGCTTCAGAATTTATTTTTTTTTTCCAATGGCTAACATTATGTACACTACTCTGTTAAGATAACATGAACTAAAATACCTGTGTCAAGGTGCTTTAGTACTTGAAATGTGTAGAGAAGCATAGCACTCCATAGCTTCAATTGTAATACTATAATTTTGGAACAAATAATTGTTTTTTCTTATTTCTATTCACTGTTTGTGTCTTTAATACTATATAATTTTGTAATGCTCATCAAAACATGGAAATAACCATATCTGGTTATCCTAGATTAAAACTACATAGTGTGCTTTTTGGCTGAATTCCACTCTTAGTACAGGTCATCCGTCAGTAATCCGGCATCACTGGGACCTGTAGTGTGCTGGATTAGCGAGTTTGCCAGATTACAGAGTGGTTAGGTTAGAATACACTTAATTAACCTATCAATAGAGACTGCCATGTTTTCCTCATTTTCATCACTGCTTTCTCCTCCACTGGCTTGCTGTTGTGGATTTACAACCATCTGCACAATTTCTGAGTCAGAATAATGATGAAATCTGAAATTATGATAGCCGAAATTAGTGCCGGATTACTGGTGTAACCGGATAACTGATAGCCGGATTAGTGATGGCCAACCTGTATCATATATTTGCAATAAATCTGGAACAAATAAGGTTGGTAGTGGCACAAAAGGTCCTGGCTGTATTGTTTACATTTGCTACTAAGGCAATATTACCAATGATTATTACCTATATTACCTATGACATACTGGTCCTAGGTTTTTATCCCAGTCAAGTTGAGACCTCAAATGGCAAAATGGCAGCAGGTGCCATATTTGAAGGAATGAAAATTGTGTGTATTAGTACATCCTGCACAGTTTGGTTCATGGTGTACTAGTACACTGTGCAGATAAATGGTTAAAAAAATATGCTGGTTAGATGCAGTGAAGAGGAAATTTTCAGAGAATGCACATAAAAAATTATAAAATTCTTGAATATTAAACCAACACCAACTCTTTAATTTAGTATTAGCCTACTATACATCATGCATACTTCATTCTTTTGGTAAAAAATATCTTTATTAACAGATCTGAAATTAAATGGCTCGTGATAACAATAAACAGAAATGAATAAAAGATCAAGTACAGTATACTAAAATCTTTCTAGACTGTATAAATCTTTTCATGCCAGTGTGATGTAACAGATGCCAGAGAGGATTAATACCCCATATACACTAACCGGTTCTATGACTTACCTATTATAGCTAAGATTGAGACGGTTAAGGGAGAGCGCCAGGCAAGCCAGACCACTAGGAACGGATGTAAAGGCATTGTGGGATAAGTTAAGAGACTGCAGATTAGACAGAGTTTCTTCTTCTGTTTCCCTCACTCCAACTAAGGACTCCTGGATCTCTACTGAATTGGACCACAAGCTGTGATGCTTCAGCTCTCGGCGACGGCAGCAGGTGATGACATTTCCATGTTTTCCTAAAGACAGCACACCTCTGGTGGATGAAGAAAAAGTGAAATGTGTTTTGAAATATTAATCAAATAAGGAATTATGCAACTAAATTCTTCATCCATATGGAGGGTAAGAAATGAAAACTCAGTGCCATCAAGAGCCAGGACTAAGAACAGAAGAAGAAGAAAAAAAAAAAAGGGCAAATATCAAGGATGATAAAATGAAGAAGTGTGACAGGACTGAAAAATAATTGACTTAAGGGAGAAAATATGTCATTCTATTGAGTAAATTCATACTGCAGAAGCAGTTGATAATATCTGTAAATTTGTTACCAGAATCTCAGAGGTGTGGATAACAACAACAGCTTGGTTTAGATACATGGGAAGGAGAAAGTTTATCACTTACATAAATAAGCTTACATAGGTAGAGGAAGCAAAATTTTTTTATACAGTACTTAATCTTTTCTTCTTCTTTCAATGTACCAGCCATATCCCACTGAAGTGGGGTGGCCCAAAAGGAAAAATAAAAATTTCCCCTTTTAAATTTAGGAATATATACAGGAGAAGGGGTTACTGGCCCCTTGCTCCCAGCATTTTAGTCGCTTCTTATGACATGCATGGCTTACGGAGGAAGAATTCTGTTTCACTTCCCCATGGAGGTAAGAGGAAATGAACAAGAACTAGAAAGAAAATAGAAGAAAACTCAGAGGGGTATGTATATATATGCTTGTACATGTATGTATAGTGTGAGCTAAGTGTACGTAGAAGCAGCAAGATGTACCTGAAATCTTGCATGTTTATGAGACAGAAAAAAGACACCAGCAATCCTACCATCATGTAAAACAATTACAGGCTTTCGTTTTACACTCACCTGGCAGGATGGTAGTACCTCCTGGGCGGTTGCTGGCTACCAACCTACTACCTAGCACAGTACTTAACCCTTTCAGGGTCGACAGACCCTCTCCGAGACTTGTTCTCAGGGTCAGCCAAATTTAAAAAAAAAAATATATATTTTTTTTCTTATGAAAAGTTAAGAGAATCTTTTCCCGATCATAATGACACCAAAAGTATGAAATTTGATGGAAAACTTACGGAATTATGCTCTCGTGAAGTTAGCGGTCTCGACGATGTTTACGCATCGGCGATTTTGCCCACTTTGACCCCTATTTTCGGCCAATTCCAGTGTACTTGTCGACAAAAATCACAACTATTTCGCTAGAACTCAATTTTCTCTATCGAATGAGTACAAGAAACCACCCATTTACCAATTTCAACTATCCAATACAGTGGTCAGAAATTAGGAATTTTGCCAATTTCACACAAATTTCAAAAGATGCCAATTTCCAAAAAGGGTCCAGAATAAACAAGAAAGACATTCCTGGCACTAAAATAACATTCCCTCTGTTCATTAGTCATGTCCCCATGTCCCTCTTACATTCTTTTGCTTTCCACTTCGAATTTTTATTCTCACAAAAAAATAAAGATTTACTGTTATGCAGACTACTGCATTGGTGTAGAAATGGTATAAATATTATCAGCGCATTTGTGAAAGAATATTAGACTCACCAGTTGACGTGTATTGGACGCATAGCATGATTTGTTTTCTTTTGAACTTTGGTAAAAATCGAACATTTCTGCTACTTTGAGCACAATTTCAAGGTAGTTTTCTTTGTAAAACCAGTCAAAATCATCTCAATTTCTATAATATGTCTTCCATTCTATAAAATGAGACCAGGAAAACTAGAATACAACAATAAATACCATACGAAAATACAGTGCCAAGTCGCTGTTTTAATCCAAAAACACGGTCAAAGTTGTTTTTTTTCTCATTATGCACTGTGTGCTGCAGGATTTTTTTTATACCATGCACACTGACCACATAGACCTATTCTTTCATATGTAGGCCTACCAGCTTTCTCTCACTAGATTTCAGGGCGCTAGAATTTAGGCGTGCTAGTACATCAAAAACCCTGGTGTGTAAGCCGTATTAGTACGGCCGAAACCCCGAAAGGGTTAATATCTATATTATATCTGTTTTATCATTTGTGAAAAAGAACAATCGAAAAAACAAGAGGATTAGAAGGGATGTGTAGATGACACAGAACTATGTTTAAACAGTTCATGTAGATTTGTATACTAATACAAATACAATACACGTACTATGTTCAACTTTCACTGAAACGTGTGCTGATTTGTTAGCTAAAGGTTTGGTAGTCCAAGAGATTGGGTAAATACTGGAGGATTAATTGATAATGGATTTCTTTTTATTTAGATTATATATCAGTATCATATCAAAACAAAAAAAAGAACAAGGAAAGGTAGATTTGGAAAATTATTAAAAGTAAGAAAATAGAGAAAAAATTAAAGAAAACTATGACAAATACGGCCTCTCCTCACTTAGTGACATACTCATTTACTAATGCCTTGGACTTACAACAGGCTCTCCGACCATTATGCATGCCTAAATTATATACAGGTCTCCCTCAACATTCGCGAGGGTTAGGGGATCAAGAGCCTCGCGAATCTTGAAAAATCGCGAATGTTTGGTGCCCCAATATATTGTAGGGAAATATAATACAATACTGCTTCCTTAACTTGAACCATGAACAATCATAAAATACATGAAAACGTCATAAATTGTACTAAATACATACATGTTATGGTTTAATAGCATGTATATTAAATACCACTGCCTCCACCACTGCCTCCACCAATGCCTCCACCAATGTCTCCACCACTTCCTCAACCACTGTGAGTCTCTACTACCCTCCCTCCGACCCCCGCAACTGGCAGCCAGCCCTCCCACCGCTCAGTGTGGTGAGTGTTTTGTTTGTTCATTATTTGCTATTAAACTACAGTATAAATAATGTAAACCCATTCATAACTGCATATTGGAATGGCTATTCGGACAGGTATTGGACGGTGACATCATGTGTTTACTCTTGAACACAGCAAAGAATCGAACATTTCTGCTACTGCTAATAATAACAATAGTAATAATAATAATAATAAGCTATGGCAGGAAAAGAGGGACTACAAATGTATAAATTCAAGGATTATGTGGAGTAAAATAAAGATTGGATGTGAAAAGTGGGTTATAGTAAGCGTGTATGCACCTGGAGAAGAGAGAAGTGTAGAGGAGAGAGAGAGATTCTGGGAAATGTTGAGTGAATGCGTGGGGAGTTTTGAATCAAGTGTGAGAGTAATGGTGATTGGGGATTTCAATGCTAAAGTGGGTAAAAATGTTATGGAGGGAGTAGTAGGTAATTTTGGGGTGCCAGGGGTAAATGTAAATGGGGAGCCTTTAATTGAGCTATGTGTAGAAAGAAATTTGGTAATAAGTAATACATATTTTATGAAAAGAGGATAAATAAATATACAAGTATGATGTAGCACGTAATGAAAGTAGTTTGTTAGATTATGTATTGGTGGATAAAAGGTTGATGGGTAGGCTCCAGGATGTACATGTTTATAGAGGGCAACTGATATATCGGATCATTATTTAGTTGTAGCTACAGTTAGAGTAAGAGGTAGATGGGAAAAGAGGAAGGTGGCAACAACAAGTAAGAGGGAGGTGAAAGTGTATAAACTAAGGGAGGAGGAAGTTCGGGCGAGATATAAGCGACTATTGGCAGAAAGGTGGGCTAGTGCAAAGATGAGTAGTGGGGGGGTTGAAGAGGGTTGGAATAGTTTTAAAAATGCAGTATTAGAATGTGGGGCAGAAGTTTGTGGTTATAGGAGGGTGGGGGCAAGGAGGAAAGAGGAGTGATTGGTGGAATGATGAAGTAAGGGTGTGATAAAAGAGAAAAAGGTAGCTTACGAGAGGTTTTTACAAAGCAGAAGTGTTATAAGAAGAGCAGAGTATATGGAGAGTAAAAGAAAGGTGAAGAGAGTGGTGAGAGAGTGCAAAAGGAGAGCAGATGAAAGAGTGGGAGAGGCACTGTCAAGAAATTTTAATGAAAATAAGAAAAAATTTTGGAGTGAGTTAAACAAGTTAAGAAAGCCTAGGGAAAGTATGGATTTGTCAGTTAAAAACAGAGTAGGGGAATTAGTAGATGGGGAGAGGGAGGTATTAGGTAGATGGCGAGAATATTTTGAGGAACTTTTAAATGTTAAGGAAGAAAGGGAGGCGGTAATTTCATGCACTGGCCAGGGAGGTATACCATCTTTTAGGAGTGAAGAAGAGCAGACTGTAAGTGTGGTGGAGGTACGTGAGGCATTACGTAGAATGAAAGGGGGTAAAGCAGCTGGAACTGATGGGATCATGACAGAAATGTTAAAAGCAGGGGGGGATATAGTGTTGGAGTGGTTGGTACTTTTGTTTAATAAATGTATGAAAGAGGGGAAGGTACCTAGGGATTGGCGGAGAGCATGTATAGTCCCTTTATATAAAGGGAAAGGGGACAAAAGAGATTGTAAAAATTATAGAGGAATAAGTTTACTGAGTATACCAGGAAAAGTATACGGTAGGGTTATAATTGAAAGAATTAGAGGTAAGACAGAATGTAGGATTGCGGACGAACAAGGAGGTTTCAGAGTGGGTAGGGGATGTGTAGATCAAGTGTTTACATTGAAGCATATATGTGAACAGTATTTAGATAAAGGTAGGGAAGTTTTTATTGCATTTATGGATTTAGAAAAGGCATATGATAGAAAGGATAGAGGAGCAATGTGGCAGATGTTGCAAGTATATGGAATAGGTGGAAAGTTACTAAATGCTGTAAAGAGCTTTTATGAGGATAGTGAGGCTCAGGTTAGGGTGTGTAGAAGAGAGGGAGAATACTTCCCGGTAAAAGTAGGTCTTAGACAGGGATGTGTAATGTCACCATGGTTGTTTAATATATTTATAGATGGGGTTGTAAAAGAAGTAAATGCTAGGGTGTTCGGGAGAGGGGTGGGATTAAATTATGGGGAATCAAATTCAAAATGGGAATTGACACAGTTACTTTTTGCTGATGATACTGTGCTTATGGGAGATTCTAAAGAAAAATTGCAAAGGTTAGTGGATGAGTTTGAGAATGTGTGTAAAGGTAGAAAGTTGAAA